CTAAACAGCCTACAGTATTTTTACAATCTTTATTTTGCAGTTAAAATAAACGTTTATCAAATGAAGTTTAATGTTACAACTAATCGTGGATCCCTTTAAGAGCTGGTGGTTTTAAACATCATTCTGTGGTTTTTTTGGTCACAAGACTGCAACAGAACATCTGCCTCTTTCCTCAAAATGGATTCAGCTTCAGGAGTCAGAGCCCAGTGAGATAATAGCTTGTGTGTACTCAAATCAAACAGTGAGTATTAGAGTACACATGTAGAACCTTGTGAATGATTTTAAAAAAGATGAAGTGCTGCTGTGACAGTAGAACAGAGTTAAATACCTGGTTCTCATTTTGATTGCAAATTTCTACATCTTGTAAGCAAACTTATGTCTCCAAGATGGCAGAACTGAATTATTAGCTCCACTTTTGACTATGAAGGAATATAATTATTCTGATAAGCCTTATGCAGGATTAGAGATAATCCACTGTGGAAGGGTAATTGGAAAGATACCCCAATGGAAACTGTGGTGAACCAACAGAAATCCAAGAGAAATAAGTCGTCGTTTCTTCAAAGGCTTCAAAGTAAAAAAAGAAGAAGTCAAAATTGTTCCTAATCTTTGTGCAAAGCATTTACTTAGATGGAACATGTCTTGTTTCTCAAAAGAAGAAAATAGTACATGTATATTTTTGGCTTCTGTACAAAGTGCATCAGAAATTACCGTCTAAAAATGTTAAGACATTGCTGAAAACAATTTAAATGATTTTTATTTTCATGTTGTTTTTCAGTCAATAAAAAATTAACTTTTTTTAAAAAATGTTAATCACCTGATCCGTTCAAAATTAGATAAATAATTCCTGTTGAAAAAGACACCGGAGAGTCTGGCAGTAAACATTTTCTTACTCTGTAGCTTCAGTTGTATAGGTCATCCTAAAARAATGTCATTGTTGTGTCCCCATCCACTTTATTTCAGATAACTTCATTATAAAATACTATATTCTGTCTTTAGTGACCTTTGCCAAATTATGTAAGGTTTTTTTCTGTTCACTCTATATGCACGTTTTATTTAGTGATTAAATACAGCCTTATATTTAGTGCCATGCTTTATTAAAGTGCTGACATGTCAACTCTCCACTTCGAGTAAATAATTTCTACTAGTTCTAAWGCAAATGAAATATTTTTTGTGTGTATGTAGCAAATTTAAAAACAACAGTTTTTGACCAAAGTGATGCACACAAAACAAACAGCAAAAAGACCAAAGCAAATACAAGAGATCATAAAAAACTGTTAAAAATTATGACAAGGCATAAAACAAAACCATTCAAATAATGCAAGAACTAGGCATGGGCCGAATACCGGTTTCAAGGTATACTGTGATATGAAAAAGTCACGGTTTGAAAACCACTAACATTTTCTGTCATACCGTGCCTACGGTATAAGCGTTTTTTGTTTATTTTTCCTCCAGTCTGTTCCGCTGCAGACTTTCCCCCGCGACCCCTCCCCCGCGCACAGCTCTGCTCTGTGGGGGCTGTGTGGTGGCTCAAGAACAGAGTTCCCCAAACTTTTCCCCTGTCTAAAATAATAAAGTCAGCTATACGAAAATACTTAGGATGCCATAAAGACAACGGCAATGTGGACCGTGGAGGCAACACYTCTAACATGATCGCAAGTCCAACTAAAGTTTATGCTATCTTGAAATGAACGYGCTAACATAGCATCAGATTGTGAAACACGTCACAGTGTTGRTGTGGCTTAATGAGCCGGTCACAACTTGTCTGTAAAACTGAGTTGTTGGYTTGTGTATTTGATAAGTTTTAAGTGAAAGGCGATAAAACTAAATGCCTCCTTTAGCCGAGCAGCTCGTTAGCTGAACYTGTTTCATAAACACACYTTCATAGTTGTGATTTCTTGTTTCTTTGTGCATATAATAATCTTTACGTCAAAAAACCTTTGTCTTTTAAAACACGATAAAAACTTGATACATTACTTCAATAGAAAGACTTGTCGTGCAGTATACACTGATTTGTCTTAACTAATAAAGCAGTGGAAAATCAGTTATCCTATTAGATGTAAACTTTATCAGGATAAACTAATTGCATTAGGTGCTAAAAATCATAAGTACAGATGCACACAGGAAATTAAAATTTCAGCCTTACCCCTCTGAGATCTAAAAACAGCATCCAAAGATAATTAAAGTTGAATATGATAATAGAAAAGATGTTTTCTTTTTTGTTTTAAAATACAAATTTCAAAACCAAATTTATAGAGCTGTAATCATACCGTCATACCATGAAACCGTGATATTTTTGCCCAAGGTTATCATACCGTCATAATTTCATACCGTCCCATGCCTAGCAAGAATGTACACTATCATGAAAGCAAATGATCATTAGATCAAAAGGGTCTGCAGGATTTGGAGGGCACACAGGGCTGCAGGAGGTCCGACAAAAAACAGGAAAAGAAAAAAAAAGCCATCAGTATTAGTGATAAGAATAAAGGGTTATTGTGTTCTTAAAAGTGTTTCTCTCCTGTCAGGACCAAGCGCAGTTCAGGACGGCAGTGGCAGTGCAATGGCAGTTCATGCTCACACCTGTCTCTTCTTGATAGCGTTTGTGTCCTTCCTGCTCCACCTTTGAAGAGGACTGGATTGAAATTTGTTGATTGGGTGCGGGTTTTTTTCTTCAACCAGGAACATAAACAGATGCACAAAGAGTGCATAAAACATCTTGCAAATATTGATGTTGACCTACTAAAATGTTTTGTTGTCCTTTCTTCTAGTTTTTAAGAAAATATTTCTTATTTTACTTAATTTTTATTGATAGTATATTTAGCATATTTAATTGAATTTGATTTTTTTGACATAAAAAGTGTTTTATTAATGTGATATATTGTATTAAGTTGTTCTACCTTTTATTTTGAGTGCAATGGTGAATTGATTTAAACTTAAAGGATGGTTTGGAGTTCAGACTCAGAGGTTTATGGTAAAATACCTCAAAAAGTAACTGAAGTATTGTGAAGCAGAAACAACAGGAAGCCCGGTGTTATCCAACTGTAACATATACATATTCTGATTTTTGAATGAAAATATTTTTCTTGAGAACTTAAGTAAAATATTGAGATGTTAATTTAGAATTTATTTTTTATATTTAGTTTTGAATATGTTTCAGAAAAATGTGAAGTTTTATTTATTTACAAATATAACCTAGTTTTCTGTTTGTGGCCTCTCCTGTTTTRCTCCTTAGAGCCATCTGTACACAAACTGTCATGAATAATTGTTCAAGTCAAGCTTTGAGAAACATGGCAATTTATGCAAACATCTGACCTAAGGAATGCAAATTTATGAATGCTCTCCTACTTGTTTGTAGTGATGGGAAATTTGGTTCTTTTTACTGGTTTGAGTTTAAATAAATCACTCACCAAAAACATCCGGGTTTTGAGTCATTTCATTTAACATGCGCACACAAGCTCCACTAATTCTTGCTGCTAGTCCTACCCAGAGAATAAGTAACATCCTGTACTGTAAATATGTTTACTTTAGAACTGTATCCTTACAATGCTAGTGTTTATTTTATAGTTTTGTGTTAAAAACAATGTTTTAAAAATGGCCATTTGGCTTCCTGGTGTTTTACCTGACAAATTTCAAAATGTGATGTCAATTTTTGTGTACAAATTCAGATCTCATGCTGCACAGTGGAACAACGGTTGGAGCTGTCATATCAAAGGTTGCAGGATCAATTCAATTCATTCAATTCTATTCAAATTCAAAAATACTTTATTGATCCCAGAGGGAAATTAGGTGTTGTTGTAAGTCATT